GGTGGGGACTGGGGTCACTGGGTGGTCTGTGGGAATCAGGGTGCTTGGGGGGGTGCTGGTGTTTGGGGTGGGGGTCACAGTACTCAGAGGTTGGCTGAGACTTATCATTTGGGGTCAGCATTCCCTGAGCCATGGCATTTCGAGCTCCTCTCGGGACTGAGCCAGGTGGAGAAGAGCCCCTTCGGGTCAGGTTATGCCCTCCCACAGTGCCTGCTCTGGTGGGAAACAGCTCCTTTGATGCTCACGCCCTGGGCCATCCGGGTTGGTGCCTGGTTCCAAGCCCCTGCCCTGTCCCTAGGTCCCCCAATCCCAGGCACACATGAGGAAGAGCCCCCAGCGCAGCTCTGCTCACATGGGGCTCAATGCACAACATCCCACAGCAGCTGGGAGCTGCAAAAGGCTCACAGATCCCCTTGCCTCCCAACACAGGAGCGCTGCCCACAGGGGCCAGTGGCTCCTAGCCCCTGTGCTACTCCAGCCCCAGAGGCCGAGGGGCACGGGCAGGGGCAGGGGCAGGGCTAGGGCTGGGTGAGCCCAGGACCAGGGGTAGGACTTCCCTCACCCCTTTCATGCAGGTGGTGCCAGGAGAAAGCAGTCAGAGCCTGGATGTTGTTTCCACCCGTTTATTGGGGAAGCTGCACCAAAGTATTAAAATAAGTTAAAAGCACAGTCCATGCAGGCGCATTGCATTCAGGAGTACCAGGAAGGCAAAGGCAGAGTGGGCTCTTCAGTAGAGAGGTGGGTAGACAGGATGGAGCACCAGGGAGTCCCAACAACTGCAAAAACCTCCACAATAAAATAGTAGTACTTGCAAAACTAAAGTTGCAAATAAAACTGCACCTTTAGCATGGCCTTAAAGGCAAAGTCTGACTCCAGCCTCCTTGTAAGGAGGCACTGGGCTGGAAGAGACCTGGGGGCAGGAAAGAGCAAAAATCCCAGGGAATGCAAGGGGACATAGGAGGGAACTCAGCCAAGAAGTGAGACCATCCTTCACAGCTTTGTGTCCTCCTGGGAGCAGAGGACTGGGTCTAGTCACTGTGTTTTTGGGGCCCCTGACAGAGTCTCCTCTTCACCATCATCTTTCAGATCTGATATTTGTGCCCCACTCCATCCATCCCCCACAACAGCCCAAATTTGATGCAAGACAACTTGTTGCAGTGGGGAAAGAAAAGCAGGACTGCCCCCCCCCCCAAGTTTTCCTGCTTTGAGGAAATAAATCCTCTGCCTCAGCCTGCTCTGCTCTCAGGGAGGCTGGGTCCCAAGCTGCCACTGGACAGCCTGAACATGAATCAGGCAGGGGACCCTCAGCTCTGGTTCATGCATAGAGGGGACCCCATCCCCCAGAAGCGTGGGATCAGCTCCGCACCCCAGAAACGCTGCCATTGGGGCAGAGAAGTCCAGAGCTACTGACCACCCACAGCTCAGACCTAGGCAGTGCAACATGGCCTTGCTCTGGCCCATGTGTCCCTGTGGCCCCCTTCCCTGGGATGCTCTCTGCACACAACCCCTGCTCCCCAAACTGAGACACCCCTCCCCCCCAGCTTCCCAAGTGGGCCCATCACACCACAGTCTGACTCCAGCTCAAGGGAGACATTTCCCCCTGCCCCCAATGCCCAGAGAGCCAGTCCTGGAGGAGGCAGGGTGTCCCAACACTGCTCCCCCACCCCTAGCTACAGCCACAGGCATCAACAATCATGTCGGGGATGTCAGTCTTGACAATATTGCTGTTGCGATCAAAGTAGAGGACAGAGAGCGGCCGGCGCCGTGTGGGCACGCAGCAAGAGTGCCCTGACGCTTGGATGTTGTTGGCTTTGACGAGGTTGAAGACAGCTGTATGGAAGGAAGAGGCCATCCCAGGGCTGCCTGCCACGTGCAGAGGGCACTGGCCCACACAGTAGTTTATCTGGTAGCCCTCAGGCTTAATGATCCAGTCATTCCAGCCAATGTCACGGAAATCCACGTAGTAGTCCTTGCGGCAGCAGAGATTGGAGTTCTGGCTGCAGCGGAGGCTGCGCTTGGCCACGCGGTGTCCCGGCTCCCTCACCTTTGCCTCGGCCACGAGGAAGGGCTGGTGGGACCGGCTGGCATTGACCACGGCCACACTATTGCCCTTGTCCCCAAGGCTTTCCAGCTCCAACCGCAAGGTCCTGTGCTCTCCCCAAAAGAAACTCTGCAGGGCAGGCAGGAGGGAGAAGGCATGCCAGCCACTGCCCTTGGCGCTCAGCCACCTCTCGCTCAGCAGCGTGCGATTGCCCCTGGCCAAGTCGCCCTCCCCACCAGCAAGAAAGATGCTCAGGGTGAGGTTGGCTACCAGGTCTTGGGGAACTCGAAGATAGAGCCAGAGCTGTGCCTGCAGGATGTGAATGTCCTGGTCCTGCGTACGGCTGAACTGGAACCGCAGCCCGGTGCTGGAGGGAGACAGGGGCTCTGAGGGGAGAGAGGGGTGAAGAGGTGAACGCTGCAGGAGGCAAGGCTGCACTGGCATCTGCATGCAGGGGCCAATCCCCTCCAGCTGCCTCTCGGGACAGACCCACCAGTTCCCTCCGCTCTGGGACCCCCAGCCTGCCCCTGCCTGGCAGCACAGGTATTGAAGGGGCAGGGGGCCCCTACTCTCACCTGGCCCGTTCCCTTCTCTGCACAGGGTGGTGCTGGAGGGCGCTTCCAGCCTCCTAGAGCCAGTCTGTGAAGCCTCCCAGTCCCACTACGAGGGGTGGGGGGACACATCCTCTTCCCCCAGCTCTTAGCTTGCTGCATCAGCCACACGGGGAGGTCACTGGAGCACAGCAGGTGCACTAACTAACAATTTAATTCCAGGCTGAACAGCTCCCTGCACCCTCACCCCACTGCTAGTGGACAGATGGCCAGACTCTGGCAGGAGCAGGACTACAGTGCTCCGAGGTGAAGGCAGTGCACGTCCCTGGGGGTCCCCACGAGCCCAGGGGACCCTTCCCCATGGCTGGTCCCGGCCCGGCAGGAACTCACAGAAGACCTCCCGCGGGCCGGCACCGGCACCGCCCTGT